ATTGCTATGGGTATATACTATGCCTTCCCCTTAGGACTGTATTTCAGGTTGAGCTACGATTTACTTATATGTCCTGAACCCGTCTGCGATACGGGAGAACATGCTTACAGACTTGCGCGGACTGCGATCCGTATTTGTTTATGACTTGTTATGCCTTTCATATCTCAATAAAATTTCTTGGGAAAAAAAAAAAAAAATAGGCATGTAATAAAGTAGTGTGGTGTAACATCGGACAGGAGCGGAAATGTGCTCCTTTATCAAGCGCACTTCCGCCTTCCCAGGCCAGCGCATGACCTGAAACGTATCACAGTGCACCTTGGTCCACTGATGTCGTCATGCCGACGCTGCATTCCAGTGTGCGTTCCACCCGGCTTTGAGGAGTACGTGCACGCCGGCCGGCTCCACAGCTGTCTGCATCCAGCCACCATGCTGCTCCCTCGGAACGTGGACTCAGTGATACTGATGACAGCCCACTCCTGTCCGATGTTACACCACACTACTTTATTACATGCCTTATTTTCACCTCATAAATGTGAGTGTTCGTACTTTTGATCTTCATTAAAGTGTTATGCTGCACTTAGAGGCGCTTCTTCTCCTTCTCTCAGTAGATACTTTTTACAATAACGGAGCTTCAGAAATGTAAATATATTTACTTTCTATTTTATTTGTATTATTTGGGTGGCACAGAGCAGAGATAAAGTTTGACTCTTATATGATTGCTAAAGTTCACATTATTGATTCAAACCATCATGAGTTGGTTTTTATCCATTGATCGCCATGAGGTGTATATTACATCTTTTACAGTCAGAGGTTTAAATTAGAGCAGACATTGTAAAACTCTCCAGTAATGTATTTTGAAGTATTTGAAATACAGCTATTAAAAGTACCTTGAATTTGTACTTAGGTTAGATTTCTATATTCACTCACATATCAGGGCTGAGTCTGAGACAGGGTGGGCTGGCAACTTCATCCATATAAGGTTCTAGATTACTGTCTGGCAGAAGGGGCCTAAGTGTTTTCCAGTACACGAGCCAGAGTATTAGACATTTTTTGCCAGATACCGTAGTTTATCTGTATATTTGTTCTTTTTGGCAGGTTATCATGTCATTGTGATAGTAAACCTCCAGGGACATGCTAGTACCATAGGGATGATGGTGGTGTTATTGGGGAATGGGGGAGGGTAAATAAACTTAGATTAGATTAATGATTTTTTAATTCTGCTTGATGACTATGGGTTATTGTAATGCGCACATCATTAATGTACTTACCTTGAATAAACTCCAGTGTTTATGGCTGAGTTCATCTTAGCCTGTAGATGTTGTGAACATCAGTATTCTGATCATCTGATTATTGTATAATGACATCTCTAGACTGATTGCAAAATGGATGTATAAAGGAGACATAGCGTACTAAAATAACAAAGTTGATTTATTTTGATAGGATGAATACATTAAAAAATAGTTACTGCTCACAACTAAGACCCGCTGAAAGGCTTGACGCCAACATGCAGCAAGCTTTAATACAATTTGTGTTACATTAGTAAATGCCATGTTGTCAAATAGTTTAAGATGCTAAAGAAACAATCAGTACAGCGATTTCAGATAATGCAAGGAGAAAATGTGACCAGCTGTTCCCATTGGGGAAGTTTTCCCTCATTTCCAGCTCTGTCTCCAGAGAAGGTAATTTTTGGCTGTAGCTGGGTTATAAATAACCCTGTCACAAATGTGGGCAAGTCTACGTAGATGATTAAAACATTTGTAAATGGAGGTTACCTTCAGTGAAAACTAAATCCCAAACCAATTAGCAAGTCCAGATATATAGGAAACTGAAGCCATATGTAAATCTGGACTTTGTGAAAGTCAAACTGGCCCTCCTCCTCCTGAGAACTGCTGTAGTTCCTATAAAAGATCAGCAACATTATTGACCACTAGGAACAGTTAAACAAAGTTTAGATTTCCACATAAAGATTCCACTTCAAAATTGCTGAATGTTTTATCAAGCAGTTTTTTTGGGGGTTTTTTTGTTTTTTTTTTTTTTTGTTTTTTTTTTGTTTTTTTTTTAGGCTTTTTGGGGGTCACTTGTTAAACTTTGTGAGTGGACTTATTCCAATTAACGGTAGGCTCACACCAGTCAGCCTAAGAGCATTGTTGTCTTGTCCTGAAGATTTGTCCCAACTTTTTAAAAATGTTTAGTTTTATAAAATAAAGGAGCTTACAATCTAAATATCCTCACCTCACATGCATGCTTACTAGAAGAAACAATTTAGACAGGAGCTAATTAACCTACCAGCATATCTTTGGAGTGTTGGAGGAAATGGAGGTACTCAGAGGAAACCTATACAAGTACGGGGGGGGGGGGGGGGGGGGGGGGGGGGGGGTCATGCAGACTCCATGCATGTTGTGTCCTGGACTGGTTGGGATTCTGAACCGAGGACCCTAGTGCTACAAGGCAGGAGTGCTAACCACTAAGTTGAATGGAATAAGCAGGAAATATTTGTAACTGCTTGACCTAAGCCCTCTAACAATCTAATTTCCTATTTGTTAGCACTACATTACATTACATTGAGTTTATATTACATTACATTACATTGAGTTTATATAGCGCCAAAGGGTTTGCTCAGCGCTGTACAATAGAGGGGGGGACAATACATGAAACATTACAGCAACTACACAGCACACGAGGGGTTATAGGGCCCTACTCTTTCGAGCTTACAATCTAGGAGGGAGGGGGTAGTGGTACAGGAGGAAGTGGCTGTGGGGGATGGAGTGGTAGGAGGAATGAAGGAGAGCAGCAGTTAGGTGAGGGTGGGGTAGGCTTCCCTGAAGAGGTGGGTTTTCAGGGAGCGCCTGAAGGTGAGGAGGGAAGGTGACAGTCTGATGGATTGGGGTAGTGAGTTCCAGAGGATGGGGGAGGACCTGGACAAGTCTTGCAGACGTGCGTGTGAGGAGGAGACCAGGGAGCAAGATAGAAGGAGGTCCTGTGAAGAGCGAAGGGTACGGGTAGGGTGGTACTTGGGAATCAGGCTGGTGAGGTAGTTAGGGGCAGTGTTGTGAATGGCTTTGTAGGTCAGAGTGAGTAGTTTGAATTTGATGCGTTGGGCGATAGGGAGCCAGTGGAGGGAGAGGCAGAGGGGGGTGGCAGAGGTGGAGCGGGTGGTGAGGTGGATGAGTCTAGCCACTGAGTTGAGGATGGTCTGAAGCGGGGAGAGCCTGCACTGGGGTAGGCCGGTGAGGAGGGAGTTGCAGTAGTCAAGGCGTGAGATAATCAGGGAGTGCACAAGTAGTTTAGTGGTGTCTGGGGTAAGGAAGGAGCGTATTTTGGCGATATTGCGGAGGTGGAGTCTGCATGTGTTTGTGAGTGATTTGACATGAGGTTGGAAGGAGAGGTTAGAGTCCAGAATGACTCCAAGGACTTTGGCTTGCGGGGCGGGATTGATGGTGGTGATGTTAGTAGTGATGGGATAGGATGGGGGGGGGGGGGGGGGGGGGAAGACGGGCAGGAGGGAAGACGAGAAGCACTACTAGGTACTGTTTGCATGTGAATTGATAGCATCCACAGAACAAGGAGAGAAATCTCAGCCACCACACACCCGGCAAGCCGAACGTGTAATAGGCGATATAGCAGCCTCAGCCTAACTCCGTCCTGTCCAGGCCCCCTCCCTCCAACATGTGGGCAGTGGTGTAACATGTCAGCTGGCATGGACTGGATGGAGGTATTTCGAGGCTACTATTATAATAGTGTAATAAGCAAGCCTGTTACACGCTGGGCTTGGACTCTGGTGGCTGAGATTTCTCTCCTTGTTCTGCTTACTGTATGGAGTCAGGGAGGACTCCTAGCCTGACATATACCGAAGGGGGGACATAGATGCAGGAGCAGAGACCATGAAATTTTAGGTTCACAGTAAATTAATAACAACACATTCACAATTTCCAATAAATGAATCCCATTTTTGTAGAAAAATTGCTGTTCATAAATTTCCCATGTACATCATGTGGCCGTTCTGGAGCTCCCAATGTTTCTGGACAAATCCCAACTTTCTGAAAGCTGCATTTGCATTTTATTTTTGTGACCCCGGTGATACCCAGGGGGAGCCAAGATATAATAATGGTGTTTTGTCGCACCATATAGTGCTTGCCAGGGTCCCAAAAATAAAATTCAAATGCAGTATTTGTTATAATTTTTTTTCCAAGTTTGTTAAAGGCTATTTGAATGAAATAAGTAGCTTTGCCTTTATAAACTGCAAAAGGTTTTCTTTAGACTGACCTTTAGGACTCTACTGCTATTCTAGTGTCTGAAAGTGGTTGAATCATGCCCGCATGTCCTAGTACTTCTCATAGTGAATCCCTCACAGTGTCCTCAGGCCTCCTGCAGTTTTCCTCCACACTGTTCCATACCCTCTGCCATATGCCTGGTCTCCTCTTCTGTTAATCATTTGACTGCGCTTCTGCTGCAGTCCTGCTTTGAGTCACATGTGAAGGCCTAAAAAGCTTAGCAGCAGCAGTTGTCAGGTTGTCATTAGCATCTAGTGATTGCTATAACGGTTTGCTTCACTTTGCTTTTTCAATATAGATAAAATCCTGAAATATGTACATAAACATCTGTCGCAATAATACATGTCTATTTTATATAAAGTTGTAATTTAGTTTTATTGCTCTTTTGTAAGTTTATCACTCTATGAATTTTAGGTTTACTTGCAAATATGTTCCCATTTGCTTTCAAGAAAAAGTACTTTAAAGACATACAGACTTGTTTATTAAAGCAGTACATAGACTTGTGATGTATAAACTGCAGTAACTCATACCAACCAATCAAATTTCATCTTTGTTTCAAAGCAGTGATGGATGATTGCTGGTTGGTTGCTGTCGCACAGTGTTGCTTTTAGACTGATGATGGACTATGCACAGTGGTTTTATTTAATTGTGTGTTAATCCATAACAACTATTTATTTTGGATTTTGCATTCATATTGTAGACAACATGAAACGGTCACACCTTGCGAGATTCCGCTTGTGCAGGAAGTCACCACCACGCTGCGTGAGTGGTCCATCATATGGAGGCAACTTTATGTTGTAAGTAAATCAGAACCGTTTTCATGACTATAAGTCTTATAAATAAGACATTTTCTTTTCTTGTTCTCTTGTGTTACATTGTATTCTTGATTCCCATAGTGAAAAGGTACATTCTTTTATTCTTGCACTTCACTGGAAAGAAACTGATTGGTTTTTAAAAAGAATGTCAAGATTTTTGTACATTAGTTTCTTAGCTTATTATGGTCAGAAATCATGTTTTTTATTTCTTTTAATTGGTATGTAAATATGAAATATTGCAGAATAATATTTTGTAGTTGCTTTAGCAAGCGGAGCAGTTCCTTCTGCTTAATCCTGAGGTTGAAAGAAAATTTACAGCATGTCTATTCATTTCTTTAAAGGAAAATGCGCTTTCAGTAAATATGCTGTTTTGTGTTCTTTTTTGTAAAGTCAGTTAGCTGAATGTAATATTTGTATGTGTTATGAATTATTTTCATATACAAATTTATAGGTTTGCCTGGCAGTGCCTAACTTTGTTAGAAAATTACTTTAGTACCCTGAAAGAGCAGCTGTTGTGAGAAAACCCACTACAGATAAGGCATCTAAAAAGGGCGTAGCTAGTAACAGTAAGTCACATTAACCACATTACTTCCACTGTACGTCTTGTAACAGTGGTGGTGGCCTTAGTCTTCTGGATGGCATTGATGTTTACATTGTGTATGTGTATACTCTGTGTTCACACAATGCCTATGATTGAGCTGTGATTAGACAGTTCAGATAACAGGCAAAATTGTCCATGACAGTGATCACAACCTTGATTGGTTCTGTGCCTTGTGATCACTGTTAAAGCCAGTCTCAACTATCACAATTGTAAACAGGGCTACTGTTTTGTGTTGGAGAACCCCATCCCCTCACATTCCATGAATTGGGAAAAGAGCAGTTCGCTTACTCGTTTCTGCCCCTAAGGACTTGTGTATCAGGTTTATGGGAATTCCGGCTGCAGCACCTATGCTCCTCATAATCCAGTACACACCTGGGTAGAGCGTGTGGAGTTATTTGCTTTACATTAATTCCTTACAACTTCCTCCCTTTTGTGCATGATCTGTACATTGATGCGCAAGATCTAGTGCCTCATTATTAAGCATCATGTTTTGGCCTCAATACCAGCATGATTCTTGGGGGTTTACTTTCCAAATATATATCTTATAGCAGTAAGTAAGGGAAACTATTGTATTTTTTTTTTTGTTTTTTTTTCCCCCAAAATTGTTGGTCTTTTTTCCTTTTATTATAAAAATAATAAAAGCCAAGTGGTTATTAATTACTACCGCATGATCTAGTAATCCAGTCAAATGATCACCACACTGAAAATGGTCTGGTTATAAAGGGGTTTATAAAGGCTTGTACTTAGGCAGGTAATTTAGACAAGTGTAGGAATGTTGAAGAAATTTTCACCGCTCAGCTCTGTGGCTTTGTTACTCATTAATACTGTGTATGGAGAAAGCCACTGGAATAAGTGTTGAAATTTTTTTTTTTTTTTTTTTTTTTTTTTTGCAACATTTCTAAACCGTATAGCTATGCTGTGTCTGGACTAAATTAAATGAAAACCTTCCTGGACTATATTTCTTTTTATTTAAACTTTTTCACTTTTTGGGGTCAAATGTGATTTTTGTTGCAGGCATTTGCAAATATGTGTGGGATTCTGCATATTTTGGTTCCCAACTCAAAACCGAGTTCCCAGCCCGGGACATAAAGCACAATATAGGTACAGCAATACACTAGAATCCCAGACTTGTCAAAGGCAGCTGAAACCCCCCAGTATATATGTACTAAGTCCAACAAAGCAAAAGTGACAGCTTCTCAGATCAACGTACAGTATAACTGGCCTAAGAAAAGATTCACGTGGGCAGGGCAATACAAAATCAGAGCAAACTGATACAGTAATTTGCCCAAAGCTGATGATATTCACCTATATCTTAAAACTATGGATTAGTTATATTTGTTAGCAGCATGCAAACAATGAATTATTAATGTTGGCTTCTAGCAAACTATACCTTGCTATATACTCACTTGTTCTGTGCATCAAGTCAGATCAATACTTGTATTTCCCTTTTATTAGCAAGATAATCGTGACATGTTTAACTGCGTCAGAAATATGATCTGTGACCTGGTGGAGTGGAGATCACAGATCTTGTCTGGAACGCTGCCACAAGATGAACTGAAAGAACTCAAAAAGAAAATAACAGCACGGATTGATTATGGAAACAGGTCTGTAGACTTTAAAAAAAAAAATGTCTATTTTTTCTTCTTGCGGATTTACATTTTTTTCTTTATTAAAGCTCCGCACTGGGGCATATTTAGAAAACCGTGAATCTGCTATTTATTAAACATTCACTGCTGGTGAATCCTCCAGGTACCCGTTTTAACCCTTTACTGCCATGCTGGGTTTACTTATTGCCGTAATGTGTGTAAATCTGTGGTTGAACCAAGGGAGCTTGGATTGATCAGGCTGAAGCTGCTCAATCGCTTCTGAACACCCTTGGTACGTTGGCTCTAATAAACCCTGATGGCTCACTAAAGAGAGCCTGTCACAAAAAAGTATTGCATAGGGGACTTTGTCTCAATGTGATTAAAAAAAATAGTTTGTTGAAAAAAAAAAAAAAGTTACGCCCCGTCCAAAAAAAATTTTCAGCTGAGCCCGAACGCCACATATATATGCACATATGAATACATACATGCTTTGGGGATGCCTACGCTTGAAAAGGTTGTTTGCTCTACATATTTTACACATTGCTGTGCACACTGGCATAAGAGCAATAATTCTTGGGCCATTATTCTTGGTTAACGCCAAACTTATGACCTGTAGGGGCTTTTAAAGTGCTGTCTATGAATTTTTAAATTCATTTAAATGTATTGAAAGTCAAACTTTTGTATTTTAAAGGGCACTGGGTATCTTATTTACTCAGCCCGACCTTATTTTATGTTTTACCAAAATATGGGTAATACATTGTATTTTCCCTAAAATGAACTTCTTTGTAATTTTACTGAATTTTTGCACTTTATAAACTGTAGCACTGATATTGTGTGACATAAAAAAAATTTGCACTACTACCATTCTATTCTTTAGTGTGTATGATTTTAGAAAATATATTATATTTTGGGGGTTTTAAGCAATCTTTTGGCTTAAAATTATTTTTTAAACATGCATGCAAAATAATACAAAATGGCTTTGTCAGCAAAAGGGTAAATGCCAGTGACTGATTAACCACCAGTCAAGGTTTGCAGAAAATCACATTTACTGCATTATAAATATATCCCCAGATGTTTATTTACTGACCGTTGTCATATTTTTCAGACTCCATTGATGAGATTTTCCACTATTTTGGCTTTTTTCACGTGGCTGGTTGTGGATTCCAGCCACTGGATTTCAGCAGCAAGAACCATTTGTTTCTTGCATCTGTAATGACTGGAACATGTGATTAGCAGCCACTGCTTTTTGCATGTAGCTGCACATGGAATGGACAGCTGCAGTAAGGGACAGGTGTCGGAGTCTGGCAAATATGGCCTATGTGTTTCCAGTTTTTGCCAGCCAGTGCAGAAGTGCCACAGTTGTGGCTGAGACTCCTTACTGGTGATTCTGTATTATCAAGAATCCAGTGAGGAAGCCTGACAATTTCTAGCTGCTGCAACATTTGGGGAAAGTGGATATTCTGGTGGGGATTTGACTACAATGATTTCCTAAGAATAGATAGCCAACATGTTACTTGGCTTGCCATCAACAATGCAAACCTAGAGATGTCATTTAACATTTATTTGTTCAGTGGGTGGATGAAATAGGGTCATTAGTCATAACTGGCTATCATGCCTTCTTTACAACCCATTTCAATTTGTTCCTCTTTCCAACCCATTTCAATTTGTTCCATTTGGCTTAGTGGTTAGCATTGCAGCCCTGGTGTCTAAATAGACTTTGCATGTTTTCACTGTGGTTTCATGGGTTTCCTCCAGGTACTCCAGCTTCCACTCATATTCCATAGACTTGCTGGTAGGTTAAAGTATGTGAGAACCATCACCTTGCAAAGCAACCCGTTCAGTTTAATGTAGAAATCAAAGGCATTTGTGTGTATACTGTATATATATATATAATGTATAAATACCTTTTTTGTTCCTCCTTTTTTTTTTTTCTCCTTTTTTTTTTTTTCTTTTCTCTGTTCTCAGCTGGAGCATAAAAGGCTTAGTGAGCTAGGGGTGGAGAAACAGCAGTACTCTGATCTTCATAATAAATGGCTGTGTGGGGAGACATGTCAGCACAATTCTTGGCCATTGGAGGACGGGCAGGGTGTTCTCCCAGCACAGGCAGTAAATGACCAGGCTGGGATGGATGTGCTCTCTTGTTATTTTTTTAATAGGACAACAAGGGGACTGGTAGGACCAGGTATTTCATGCAACGGAAACAATACAAAGGGAACAGATACTTTATTAACACAAGTCCATGGTACAGCAGGCAAATATCAGGAATATGAAATGTTGGGGTAACATTCTTTAATTGGCTACTACCTAAATTGGGAGATTAGGGACTTTAGATTGCAAGCTCCTGTAGGGCAGGGACTGATGTGAATGTACAGTACGTAAAGGGCTGTGTAAATTGTCGCCACTATATAAATTCCTGAAATAAATAAATTTGTAACTAAATCCCTTTTCTGAACTGAACGTACGTGAGAGATTTACTTATCGGAGACTGCAGTGAGCCATGTAGTGATTTATGAATATTTGTAGTTTATTATAACCAGAAGCTTACCTTTCTGTGAGTAGGTGATGTTTAGCTATGCATTTTGCCTTCTAGCTTTTAAAAGTATGAACGCCTCATGAAAATCTAATTTTATGTATGGGTTGCTGAGATATGGCAGTTTTGCATTTCCTGTGACTGTGTTCAGCTTTGCAGAGAAAGACTTGAGACTGAGCCTTGATTCTGTTTGTCGTAGAAAATTTAAAGCTTCACCTTCTCCTCAATTAATGAATTCCTTGTTTGTTATTGTGTCTTACCATCTGCCGACATGTTTGCTTAAAGTTTGCATGGACTCCAGATGCTCGGTTTTCAAACAGGAATGAGCATCTTGAGAATTTGTTTTGTTCTGAAACTTCTGACAAATGGGAGCAGGAGCTGCAGAAAAACAGTCTTTGTCCCCTAAATACTAATGGATGAAAGTTCTGATGAGGCTTTCAAATCCAGCGTTTATGCTACGTCTATGATGTGTTCTGTCCTCATATTATAAAACATGAAACTGCAGCTCTAGGTTAGGCAGGCAACGCTCCAGTATAACTAAAGGCAGAACCTTTGTTATTTTTAAGGATTGGAAACAGCAGTGAGGGTATGGAACTCCTGTCAGGTTTAATTGATTTCTGTGTCCCTATTGAGAAGATTCACTCTCTCTAATTGTCCTTCTCTCCAGTGTTACTGTGAATGAAATTCAAAATTGTGAGTTGTCACTAGAAAAGGAATAGAGGAAAAATTTTACAATAGGGACACTTGTTCATTAGACCATTGTTTAGCAGGGTATTTCCTTTACAAAATATCCCTCGTTTCCTGTTGAGATTACAAGACCAGAAGTATTGGGGGAAATCCCCCTAATGAGAAATAGATGGAAAAAAAATGACCTTTGTTTTAAAGTGGAAGTAAATGTCAACTATAAGTGTTCTTAAAAGTTTGCCTCCCCCCTCCTCCTACCTATGCTGCCTCAGGTCAGTGGAAATATATATGTGAGGGGAGTGACTTTTGGGGGTGGGGGGCTCCTGTGTCAGCTCCTCATGTTCCTCCTATGTGTAGGCAACCTGTGCCTGTTAGGGGTGCAGGGTGATCTGTCCTAATATTGTGTTTCTTGGTTTGGTGGGGTGTGGGGGTTGTTCATTGTTTAATGCCATGTGGTTGTCCCATTGTGCTATTGTGTGTCTGGCTTGGGAGCAAACTATTATGGGTTGTATGTGTTTGTGTATTGGCTTGGTGGGGGGTGTCTGCTGATGTCTCTGGTTGCTAGATTTGGTTTGCCATGCTCTGTGCCCATATGCAGGGAGGTGGGTTGTGTCCTTGAATGTATATATCTTGTGTCTGTGTTAAAATAAAGCAGTTGACTTCCTGTCTTAAGAAGAGTCTGGTGCTGTCTTATTTACTGTATGGTCAGGGTGGTGTCCAGGAATCTGTGTTCGGACAGGGAAGCGAGAGTCTAATGGAAATACTCTACCGCAGACGGGGTCCGGTTCCGTTACAATATATTTATATATTTTTTTTAATCTGCTACAATATGGTCATTTGATGCACATGCTTCAGCACTTCTATATTAGAGAGTGGCTGCTGCAGGGGAGGGGAGGGAGCCTCAACAATGGATGGGCACTGGGAGCCAGTGGGTGAAGTCGCGACTACAGGAATTCAGAGCTGTTGTCAAGCACTCCCTGACACAGGAGAGCTGGAGCTTGTGGATCATGTAACTGCTCTGGAGTAGATTACCACAGATCTCTTTTGTAAAGGGTAAGCAGAATAGGTACGAGGAGTGGGGAGGCAGCATTTTTAAGAACACAAATGTTAGTCCTCATGCACACTGGACATTTATACAGTTGCTGATTTTGGCTTTTGGAGTTTTTTTCTACAGCCAGTAAACTCCCCAGCATGTTTTCCTATGTGTAGAGGGGTTTTGTAGCTACAAAAACACTCTAACGCTGAAAAACGCAGCAAACCGGCTCTTTTGGGTGTGTTTTTTTTTTTTTTTTTTTAGCAAAATTTTTTTTTTTTGGTGTAAATAACGCTAAAACCGCAAACATGGCTAAATGCTAATGCAAAAATAAAAAAATGCAGAAAAACTTGTATTCTTAATGTGACTTTATACAGCTAACGCTCCTGATGATTATAAAATGCCCACTGTGCATGAAGACTTATTGTAGTTGTGTTTAAAAAGTATATTTTTACACACAGGTTGCCTTTCATTTCTGTTTTAAACTGGTTAATTTGCAAGGTAAGGATTCATATATACTCAACTTTTCTCTATTCTGTTCAAAAGGTAAAACAAAATTTATTTTAGATATACTTTAAATCGCCTTCTATGACACAGGCTGTGTGTTCCCATGGATTGTATGCTGGTTTTATTATCTAATTAAGCTACCATCATGTCTTTGGAATGTCAGAGGAAACTGGAGTACCCGGAGGGAACCCACGCAGGCACAGGGAGAACATGCAAACTCCTGGCAGGTAGTACCATGGTTGGGATTTGAACTGACAATCTAATCCTTGTGCTGGTAGGTGGAAGTGCTGACCACTTAGCCACTGTGCTACTCCAAAATATGCCTATTAAAGTATTTGTGACAGGTTGCATGCAAAATGTTGACATGCAAGTAAATCTCATCTTTCTATTTTATTAAAAAATATAGTGTGTTTGTATGTATGTATGTGTGTGTGTGTGTGTGTGTGTGTGTGTGTGTATATATATATATATATATATATATATATATATATATATATATATATATAACTAGAAATACATCTACAGTGCCTTGAAAAAGTATTCATACCCCTTGAAATCTTCCACATTTTGTCATGTTAGAACCAAAAACGTAAATGTATTTTTGTGGGATTTTATGTGATAGGCCAACACAAAGTGGTACATAATTGTGAAGATGGAAGGAAGATGATAAATTGTTTTCAACATTTTTTCACAAATAAATATCTGAAAAGTGTGGCGTGCATTTGTATTCAGCCCCCTTTACTCTGATACCCCTAACTAAAATCTAGTGGAACCAATTGCCTTCGGAGGTCACCTAATTAGTAAATAGAGTCCACCTGTGTGTAATTTATTCTCAGTATAAATACAGCTGTTCTGCGAAGCCCTCGGGTTTGTTAGAGAACATTTGTGAACAAACAGCAGGAAAGCCAAAGAACACACCAGACAGGTCAGGAGTAAAGTTGTGGAGAAGTTTAAAGCAGGATTAGGTTATAAAAAAAATATCCCAAGCTTTGAACATCTCACAGAGCACTGTTCAACCCATCATCTGAAAATGGAAAGAGTATGGCACAACTGCAAACCTACCAAGACATAGCAATCCACCTAAACTGACAGGCCGAGCAAGGAGAGCATTCATGAGAGAAGCAGCCAAGAGGCCCATGGTAACTCTGGAGGAGCTGCAGAGATCCACATTTCAGATGGGAGAATCTGTCTACAGAACAACTATTAGTCATCGATCCACAAATCTGGCCTTTATGGAAGAGTGGTAAGAAGAAAGCCATTGTTGAAAGCCATAAGAGGTCCTGTTTGCAGTTTTTGCTAGAATCCATGTGGGAGACGCAGCAAACGTGGAAGAAGATTCTCTGGTGAGATGAGACCAAAATTGAACTTTTTGGTCTAAAAGCAAAACCCTATGTATGGCGGAAAACTAACACTTTACATCACCCTGAACACAACATCCCCACCTTGAAACATGGTGGTGGCAGCATCATGTTGTGGGGATGCTTTTCTTCAGCAGGGACAGGGAAGATGGTCAGAGTTGATGGGAAGATGGATGGAGCCAAATACAGGGCAATCTTAACAGAAAACCTGAGTCTGCAAAAGACTTGAGACTGGGGCAGAGGTTCACCTTCCAGCAGGACAACGACCCGAAACATCCAACCAGAGCTACAATGGTATAGTTTAGGGAAACTTAGGACTTGACAAAGCGCAACTGCGAGAAACATGTCGTCTTGGTAACCTACACATGCTCCCAGCTGAAGCCAACGCCGGACACTGCCTTCGCTTGCCATGGTGACACCACCCGGGATGCCGGTACGCTGAGATCACGTGATTTGAAGTCGACAGGAGCGTTCTCCGATCTCAGCTTCTTTCAGAGTGAACGGGCTGTTCCTTGGAGTCACACTGTCCACTTCAGGCTGGTCAAATTTTATTATATTTGCTACTTTGTCTCACCCAATAAAGGTGCACCTTCATTAAGGTGCTTGTCTGAGAGCATTTTCCACAGCGCCTATTTTTTTCAATGGTATAGTTTAGATCAAAGCATATTCATGTGTTTAGAATGGCCCAATTGAGAATCTGTAGCAAGAATTACAATTTGCTGTTCACAGACGCTCTCATCCAATCTGACAGAGCTTTAGCTATTTTGCAAAGAAGAATGGGCAAAAATGTAACACTCTAGATGTGCAAAGCTGTTAGAGACATCCCCAAAAAGATTTGCAGCTGTAATTGCAGTGAAAGGTGGTTCTACAAAGTTTTGACCCTGGGGGGCTGAATACAAATGCCGCCACACTTTTCACATATTTATTTCTAAAACATGTTAACCCATTTATCATTTTCCTTTCCACTTTGCAATTATGTGCCACTTTTTGTTGGTCCATCACATAAAATCCCAATAAAATACATTTACGTCTTTGGTTGTAACATAACAAAATGTGGTAAATTTCAAGGGTTATTAATACTTTTTCAAGGTACTGTATACACAGCATTTCGATTTCTCTGAAGTGCTTGAACGGAGAGATGCTCTGAATGAACAGTCTACATACACACTGATTCTAGATTAGCTCACTGTGTGATTTATTTCTCTATATATACCACATTGTGTTGCTGGTGTTTTCTGTGGCTATGCTACTGCTGCTTTGAAGCTTCATATTTTCTATAGAAGGACCCTTCTTGAGAGAGCTTCCTTTCCCATGTCTCTAGCAGTTAGGAAGAGTCTGGAGCTTTGGCTGAAATCTCATTTCTAGAGTCTCCAGAAGATAATAGGATGGTTATGTAAAGGAGCATTTACCAAAAAAAAATGTTAGACTTGGGTGAACTTATTTTTCTATTTTTTTTTTTTTATTTGGTTATGTTTTTATAGGCTCCAGCATATTGAATGAATAGACCTGGAATGTCCTGCATAGAAGTGACTAATGGAATACAGGGCTTTGTTTGCCCTCTTTCTTTATCCAATACTTAGGATCCGATTGCTACAGTGAACATAGCTCATCCTTTCTTTACATAGTTATATGTGAAGTTGAGATGTTCAGCAGGTCCCTTTTTGTGTGTGATATTAAATGAACTGTTCTACATTATGTGTTAAATCAATTAGCAGAGAATGAAGGTCAACTCTTTTTGTGGTGATTGCTGTGTAGAACAAATCTTTTATTAAATCCTTTAAAAAATGTTAACGTTTGAGTCAGACAAGGACCAAGTTAATGGATGCCCAAGAGGAGATACTTGGGGTTTCCAGTTTTCCAGAAATTTGTTATTGAATAGAGAACATTGGGGATCATTTCAAGTATTTCCCCCACACTGGATCTCTTTTGACTGAAATGCTGCTTTTCTTTTGTTTTTCTGCATATCACTGAGGGCTCGTTCACACTAGGCTGTTTTGCCAACGCTTGCCAAACGCCCCTATAGCGTTTGGCAAGCGTTGGTCCGGCGTTTGCGGAGCGTTATTAATGCTCGGCAAACGCTCCGCAAACGCCGCATGCGCGGTTTAGCGGCGGTTGCTAGGCGTTTGCCGAGCGTTAATAACGCCCCACAAACGCCTATAATGCAGTTTGAGTGGTGTTACCGCTCCACAAACGCCCCGCAACCGCGTCGCAACCGCACCGCAAACGCCGGCTGGGCGTTTGCGGAGCGGCACCATAGACGAGAATAGGAGACTTCAAAGCCTCCTGACTCGTCCAGAGGCGTCCGTTTTGCCGCGACGCAACGCGACGCAAACGCTCCCGTTAGAACAGCACCATGTGCTGTAATGTGCAGAATTGGCAGAGGCGTTCGGGAAGCAGTAAAAACGCTTACCAAACGCCTCTCTGCCGCCTGCACACAAGGCTAGTGTGAACGTAGCCTAACAGTCACCCTCTACGTAAGGAGACCTACAGTAAGCAGTCAGGCCTGCTTCCTTTAACCAATTTCTTTTTAAGATATATTTTTTAATGGTAATTGTTATAAATGCTGCTTAATGTCATGGAAACTTTACATTTGTTTTTTTTTTTTTTTTTTTTTTTTTTTAGGATACTTGATTTGGACCTGGTTGTACGAGATGAGGATGGAAATATACTCGACCCAGAACAGACCAGCACTATTAGTCTTTTCAGGGCACATGAAATAGCTTCCAAGCAAGTTGAAGAAAGGATTCAGGAAGAAAAGGTTTAGCACACTATTTTTTTCTTACTTTGGTTATTACTAGTGCTGTGGCAGAAAAATCATTATACCAACTCTGTGCACTTTCTTTGGTTAAAAGGAACGACATGCAATTTAAAATATTTTACATGTAGCTAAATAAAGACATGCTTCCACTAGGCCCCTCCATAGTGAACATCCTCTGATAGAACTACTGATTGTGGCCTGTAGCCAATCAAATGTCTACAGATCATTGGAAAACACACTAGACTAGAAGATTTTTCACATTTACGAATGGCTATTACATTTGTATTTCTTCACTTTCAAGAAATTAAATCTGCACTCCAGACTAGCAGCTACGTACACAATTTTAAATACATTGGCATGCTTTTTATTTGCTAAAGGGTTTGTAACTCTAGCTAGTCTTGTGATCCAGAAACCCCTGCAAGACAGCATAGTCCGGTCCTTTTGCATTAGCAACACAACTTGGTGAAGAACTTTCCCTCATCCTATTTACTGGACCATGAAGGAGCCACAGCATTAGGCATTAGTCTGCTCACTCTTCTTTCTCCTCTTGTCAGCATCTCGTGCTCTGTAGCTGAGCCTGACTGGCTTCTAGGATTGGAGCACCCTCTCCCTGAGTGTTTAGTTACAGGAGCTTATAGGAAGCTGATCTAAAGACACTAGCAGTGTGGTTCACAATAAAAACGTTATTGTTACCGGTTTAGCTTTTCCAGTGTTGACTTACCGTATTATATTTTTTTTTTCCAGTCTCAGAAACAAAATGACATCAACAGACAAGCCAAGTTTGCAGCCACACCCTCGTTTGCTTTGTTTGTTAATTTAAAAAATGTAGTATGTAAGATCGGGGAGGACGCTGAAGTTCTGATGTCTCTTTATGACCCCTCCGAGTGTAAATTTATCAGGTCAGTGTTTACCTATTACCTGAACAACAAATGTGGAACTGTGACATTATCTGATGTTTCTAACTCCTTTTTTTTTTTTTTTTTCCCCACACAGCAGTTATAGATTGTTATGCTAAACCTCTTTAATGGGTCATTAAAGCCTGACTTCAGAAAATATACAGTTCATGTATTTGCTGTTTTATTTGCAAAATAATTTTGTAGCCTCAATTCAGTCAGTTGTGTGACCAAGGCAATTCCTGCTAGACAGTCAGGCCTGAATTTTTTTTTATTTTAATTTTTTTTATTTTCTCTACTTCAGTTTAGAGATTCAGCCTTGTTACCAATTTGCTCCATCATTCCTTTTGTACAATAAAAAGCAACATGTTGCTAAATTTAAAGCACCGTGCAAAACTGTAGTGCCCTAAATCCTCCCCTACTCCATCTGCAGGCTGCTGTTTAAAGGAATACAAGGAAGCTGATCTAAAGACATAGCTGTGTACTTATACTATCTGTATTTAAAAATGCATCATACATCACTTGATCTTCCCTATAAAATTTACCTCCCTTCTATTGCTTCTTTACCTAGGACTCTCCCACCCCAGTACATGTTTACCTCTGTGTGATGTTGTTTACACCCTTGATGTCTCTGACCTTGACTGTGCCTGCAAAATAACTCCTCATAGACCTGAATGAAGCTATATGACAGGAATTGTGTACTTTTCCTGTCCCAGCAGCTTTAAAAAAGCAAGTTGGTGACATCACTACCGGCCTTTCCACCTCATTCAATCAGAGAATACTTTGCATTCATTCAGAATATGCAAAGCATTCTCTGAAACAGCTGACCTCCTGTATTCACAATGCATCAGACTGACTCCTCAGCATGGGACCCGGAAACAAATGGAGATCACTGGATTAGTGGTATCTACTTCAGTGATTTCCAACGTCAAGGGTCATCAGCCAAGTATGGTATATGCATAGATACATTGATTCAAACTATACCATACCTTAAACGCTTCTAACATTGTGTTTAATAATTTTTTATAACAACTGGTCATGTATGCATATGAATATACCTCCTATTTTAAGAGTATTTTATAGCCCTGATGCAGGGGGAGTGTGTTGGCCCCCAGAATGCATTGGCTATTTTATATGATCATATTTTAAATCATTAACCACTTGCCGTTCGGCCGCTAAATTTAATCGGCCGGACCTGGCAGTCCAGGGGTGGGTTGCCGTTCATAAACGGCGCCCGCCATTTTGGACTGTGCGCGCTCCCTGGCAGCGTGCAGCACCGCGATCCGGTGCCTGCTGTGTCCTCCGGACACAGTGGAACACCGATCGTCGTACGGGACCTCTGTGCGAGGTCCCAATCATGTGATCACTGGCCTATCAGTGATCACATGCAGAGTAGTAAGCAAGATGTCACTTTTGACATCATTGCTTACTACGTGTAAAATCTTTGAATGATCAGAGGTCACATGGTACAAGGCTATTCACAACAGCCTTGTACCATGTGACAAGCTGTGACCAATCACAGCTCATACAGTATTTCTCAATGGCTGCAAGAATGCAGCCAGAGAGAAGGAGAAATGATTGCTTTTGCAGCATTTAAGGGTGTAAAAGCAATCTGTGTAACAAAAAAAAAATCTTCATCACCCCCCACAAGTAGTACAGCGTCACCATGGTGACACTGTACTGCTAGGGTGACAGTATGTGAAAAACAAAAAAACCCCAAATAAAATAAAAAATATATTTTTTTTTTAATTCTAATGTTTGGTTATAAACTAATTTGGGTTATTTTTATTTTTACTAAAAAGATAACTGAATACATTCTGGCCAAGATTTATGATGAAATATTATTTATTTGCAAAATTTTATAAGAAAAACATTTTTTTTTTTCTAAATTTTTGGACGTTTTCATTTATATAGCAGAAGAAATTAAAATCCCAGTGGTGAATAAATACCACTAAAATAAAGCTTTATCTGTCTCAAAAAAATGCTAAAAAATTCATATGGGTACAGTGTTGCATGACCGCGCAATTGTCATTCAAAGTGTGATAGCGCTGAAAGCTGAAAACTGGCCTGGACAGGATGGGGGTAAAAGTGTCCAGACTTGAAGTGGTTAAAGCGACTGGGAATCCTTCACCATTTGTTTTAGTTCTCCTTTTGTGTTATCACACTTTGATTAACGTTCTAGGTACCCACCACGGGGAGCCTTGCTTTGCATGAGCAGCCTTGTGCCAGTAAGCTTCCTAAATTTTTATGTTTTTGACGTCTTATTGAACAAATACATTTTGAAGTCCCTGCACATCTTGGGTATGTCATATAGAACTTGTTAATAAACAGTTCACAGTTTTGTATCTATAGATTCATGATGCATTCTTGATTTTAACATTGGTGTGCAATATATTTCTATCCTGTGTTAGTTTTATATAATCTTGGAAATGGCAAACCATCACATAAAATGCCAAAATCAATTATGTTCACAAAAGTCCCCAAGTTGATTGGAAGTGTTTTAATATAAATATCGTGTACTTTGTAGAAACTTTTTATGTTTTTTTTCTGATGGGGGATTTGCAAAGGAATGCAGCGTAATTGAAAATTAATGAGGAGAAAAGAAATCCATTGGCAATGCATTACAGTTCATAACTGGTTAATAAATCCTATTTGCATTTATAGTAATTAATGCAAGTATCTGAAATGAATGCCATTATTTTTAAGAGTCTTCCTCCTGTAAAGTTCTTAATGTGAGTTTCTCAGAAGGAATTTGAAATACATTCTTCTACGAAGTAGCAAAACTCTTTTATCACGATTATTATTATTTAATGTGTTTTTATAATTGCTGACATTACATAGATTAAATTGCATCTTCATTTTATTATAGAATTAAAAAAAAATGTCTGCTGCTCGGTGTTGCAGCAAAATGAATATACTGGTTTACTTGATGAATTAAGGAGTCTTAAGGTTCCTTTGTATATGGGAAATTTTTAAAGTGTAACTATGAGCAAATATTACAGTGTGATGGAGCTCCAACTGTTTGCTCAGCAGTGTTGTCAACTCGTGGACAGAGTAGTTGATGTAGGTTAAATTTTGAATTTAAATTGGCACTATTACTACAGAATCTAAACCAATAATTGTCAACTTATGAGCTAAAGAGGGCCTCAAATGCAACCCCCTGACATCACTAAAGAGCCACACAAAATGTTCAATATATGTAATGCTTGAGAGGACTGTCAGAAACTGCAGACCTAATAGAGTAAATGAGGGTCAGATAGTGTGGACATGCAAAATATTTTGCTGGGGAAATGCTGCTGAAGACAGTATGAAACTGGGAGTATGTTACATGAGGCTAGTGTAGATCAATACCATTACCCTAATCAATGTTCCTACCACAGACTGCTAAGTTCCAAGTGCCGCATATTATATATCAAATGGCCGCAGGTTGGGCACCAGAAATCTAGACCGTAAACAGCAAGTAGCAATATCTGTAGAAAGAAAAGGCAATATACTTGCCTTATTCACTGCCCAAGTCTTGAAACACCACCATCATGCTGCTCCCTGGCATCCTCCAATATTCATTTGTTTTGGGTATGTAAATATTTCATACGCCTGGTGCACGCGCAGCGGTTTCTCCCACTAGTTCCTGTATTACTGCAGGAAATACCAGTCGATAGGAGGAACCACTGTGTACAGTAGTGAGAAAACAGGTATATGACTCCATCCAGGTGGCTGAATACCCTATTTGCTTGGGGAAAGGCTGGGGGAATCACTGCTGTTTTGACCCCAAGTCTTAAAACTTCTAATACTTACCTTTGCAGTTGGCCCAACGCCAGCTAAAACTTTTTTTATTCAACAGTTTCTTTCTTTAAAGGCAGCAGATAGAGAGCCATGAAAAAAAATAGGTGTGAATATGGCACACAGGTCAATAATACAAAATGGTCATCTACCAACAGTTCAGTATGGTACATTACATGAGGAAGAAGGCCCTAAATTACCTCAGCGCTCTTTTATGCTGTCAGCATAAATCCACAGAGAAAAACTTGTGCAGAAAAAGAGAAGAGAAGGAAAGAAGAAGTGGAAAAGAGGGCGGACAGTTGAGAGGTATGCCAAAGACGTCGTGGAGGCATCTCCTCAACGTCAGATGAGGGGACTTGTTTCTTTTAAATTTAAGTCCACAGTCACACTGGATGCGAACTGGCATGTGATTTGCATGTCATGCGACTTGCAAATTGCATGCCAAGTCACACCCTATTGTCTGCAATTACAGCAGTCATGTCAGTGCGGTTCCGACTTGTCAGAACTGCACCGATTTCTAAAGTAATACATGCACTGTTTTTGGTGTGTTTTGCATAGGCATCTGTGTCAGATGTCTTGCAAATCACACCTGAAATCGGCATGTCATTCTACTTTGAAATTGCGTGACTTCACTGTAAGTTGCACGATTTCAAAGTAGGGTTTGGTGTGATCTGGGTGTAATACTCGGTGGTTGAAATCTGATGGCATAAAGCTGAAAACCCATGAATTCCAGGTTTTGTGCAAATTGCACATAATGTCACTAAGTTCAGCAGTCAGCTTGTTATTCATGCGCATCCCATACACGTTCGATTTTATTGCCGCCAAGAAGAGGGGATACGACAGCCAGGCTTCAACTATGATATGCTTAGTAGCTGTAAAAATGTCAGTTTGAATTGTCATTTGGAAAGCCCATCTGGTTTCGAGTAGAGCAATATCTCTTCAGATATAATAGGAATAGTAACTCCAAAGAGTACTTTCATTATATCATAGACCTGAGTCCACAAAGCATACACATTCAGACCGGTTCACCATATGTTGATATAAGTGCCCGGTTCTAGGCAGCCACAGAACAAGTCCCAGCATGCCTTGGAGTATACTGTGCAACTCAAGTCAGAACATGGTACCAACAGTACAGTAATGTATAATTAGTTTCAAGTGCAAGTGAATTCTGGGAGCACAATTTGATGGTTTCCAAAATTTGCTTCCATTATTGTGGTTCCAGGGTAATGCTATGATCCAGTTCCCATTTCTGCATATAGGCATGATGGAGTGATGAGGGCTTAGATAAACTGAGAGTATAGCAAAGAGAACAAGCCCAAGTGTGGATTATCCCTTTAGCAGGAGAGGGATCATTGATTGTATGTAGTGTTTTGCCTTGGTAGCAAAAAATTTCAGTTTCAGGCAATTCTCTGCTTGCAAAGTTCGAAATGACTTAGGGGCACGATATGTTAAGAGGTGATACATGTCAGTGAGCTTTAAGTCTATCCAATGCCAAAATACACATTTGGTTTTCTCCTCAGCAGGAAGGCAAGATTGCCAAGAAAGGACATTAAATGTAGATTGGGGGCAGAGTGGAACTCGCCGGAGTATTTAAGGTCATCCCATATAGATAGATTCCCAAATATTAGAGATCCCAGTGGTAAGGAAAGGAGCTCTGTAGCATACCTACCTGTTCTTATTTATACAGGATTTATATAGCGCCAACAGTTTTCTCAGTGCTTTACAATATAACGGGAGACAATACAGCAACAATACAGTTCAATACAAGATGGATAGGAGGGCCCTGCTCCTTGGAGCTTACAGAAGAGAGACACAATATTTGGGACTTGGGCTAAGGCCGTTAAGTTGGGAAACGTGATAACGGGGTTAGTGTTAAACAATACAATAACATCTGCAAACGTACTCAACTTGTAGAGGTGACCTGCTATAGTGAAACCAGTGATGTACCGATGTGTTGCGCCAGTGGCTCTATAGCGAGGGCAAAGAGCAAGGGGGAAAGTAGGCATCCCTGCCTGGTGCCTTTGAAAATGGGGAAGGTGAAGGATTTATAACCTTCATATTTCACATAAGAATAAAGAGCTGCTATCCAGTTCCGAAACTGCAGGCCAAAGTCCCAATTCTGCAAGGTTTAAAAAAAAAAGTAGGGCCATGATAGGGAATTAAATGCCTTCCTAATATGGAGTGATAGCAATATAAAGGGTGTTTTACATCTTCATGCAGCTTCAGTCAAATGGATGGCTCGGTGCACATAGTCTCCTACTTGGCATAATGGCATGAAGCCAAGTTGATTCTTGTGGATCAGATGGCCAGTGCTAGTTTTGAACTTTGCTGCCAGCACTTTTGCAAGCAATTTGACACTGAAAAATAAAGGGTGACTATTGTAAGCTCCCTTGGGTATGTAATATTTTTTTTCCAAGCTGTAAACTGCCTCAATTGCTAGACAGTGTGGTCTGTTATAGTGGGAAAAAAACAACCATACCAACAGAATTAACAGTTAATAAAACTTTGTTACAAGAGGGGACCCAGAAAGACAAAAACTGCAATGTTAATGATTTTGACAGATTGCATAATTTATGCAAATTGTGCTTATAGCGTCACTTTAAGGGGGGGATTTACTAAAACTGGCGCGCTCACAGAATCTGGTGCAGCTGTGCATAGTAACCAATCAGCTTTTACCTTAAGCTTGTTCAGTCAGCCTAGGTTAATACCTAAGTGCTTTCTGCTGCATTTTGCAGAAACACCATATAGTCCATTTAGCATGATTTCGTGTGGAACATGTTTACATCTCCACGATTTCACCCAGTGCGGTTTTTGGAAAGGGTCAGGGACTTTTTTTGAATACAAAAAAGTTGTGTTTTTGGTTCTATAGATTACAATGGAATCGCTGCAGAAAAGCATGTAGTGCATTTTTGCTGCATTTTTTTAAATCTGCCTAGCAACAATAAAAAAAATAGAAAAAACAAAACGCAGCAAAAATGCAGGTGCAAAACACAATTCAGAAACAGCTCAAACACAACCTGCATAGATGTAAACCTAGCCTTCGGCTTCGACAATAAAGCCCAGAAGCTGATTGGTTACTATGCACAGCTGCATCAGATCTGTGTGCTCCAGTTTTAGTAAATGTCCCCTAAGTGTTGCATGACAAGTCCTCTTATGTTGTTTTCTTAAAATGCTGAAGAAAGTGATAGAGATTGTCTTCTGGTGCCCATTTCTGATATTTTTCTTTCATAAGCAAAGAAATAAAATTGAAATAAACACTCATTATCTGAATGTCTCTCTCACACCTCATGTCTAACTACCTCTACTCACGGATGGGTGCGAGGGGGCACCCCATATAAGAGATGGCCTTGGTCCTGGCCTGGGTTCCTTAACTTACTGGTTTCTTAAGTGCTCCGTAGCCTAATCTATATCCCCCCCTTTTTTTTTGCCTTCCCTTTCCTCCCCTCCCTTCATCCCTCCCCTGCCCCTCCTCCCTCCCCTTCCCATCATACATTACTCCCCCCCCCTTTTTTTCTTTTTTTTTTCTTCACGCCCCCTTTTTTTTTTTTCTTCCTTGACCTCCCCTCTTTTTCTTTGTATTTCGTTTCCTGTGCTTGCTCCATTGCCGATATCTATGACTCCCTCCTTTCTGTCTTCCTGGCTGAAACTCCTCCTCTTGCAACATAGATGCCCCTACCTGAACATGCTCCTGGTCAACATCACCTGAAGTCTTCATTGGCTATACTCCATACCACCGTTCATGCGGCGCCATATCCTCTACCACTCAGATCCCTACCTTTTTCAGCTCACGACTCACTGCATGATGTCAATTCACCCACCTTTTTGTCCTCTTGCCCCCTCCCAAGGGGTTCTTAGTAGCTCTTAGATGGTTGTTGATGGCACCTCGCCTACATTACTCTGTATATATTTTATCCCTCCTTAAACATTTATATTTCAGAGAGGGTATATTACACATCTCTGTTGGGAATATCTTCTTTTTGTTTTTACCAATATTCAGTGTGTGTTTCAGGATTGCATATGATGCTCAGACTACTGTACCTCTTCTGACCTTTATATATCCATTGTATTAATTCATTGTTCCTGTTCTGTTCTTTTTCTCAGTAAGTAGATTGAACTACAATTTGTTTTTTTTTCCATGATATGTCTGTTAAGGATTCATCCACTCTAAAGTAAAATAAGTCAAGGAGTCCAGGTTTTCACTTCATTGTAATGTTTTTTTTTTTAAATAGAAAATGTTTCTACTTCAGTCACCCATCTTTTCAATTCTTGCAGTGAAAACTATTTGGTGCGCTGGTCAAGCTCGGGCCTGCCAAAAGATATTGAGCGGCTGCATAATCTACGAGCAGTTTTCACAGTAAGTTATTGCATTAAGTGTTCCGGGATGCTCTTCTGAGAGGAGGCAGTGGAAAATTAATTGGGAAGTTTATATCATTCTGAGATCACAGCCCTTGGTTGCAGAGACCTAGATAGACATGTCTATTCCATCCCGCAGGAGATCATTTTAAGCAGGTTTTCCCAAACTCCAGTCAGTCCAGTAACACCTTAATAACCTCTGCAGTATTTGAATACCACCACTTTTATTATAGACCAACTCCGTCCCAAATAGATATAACTGCTTTGCTTGGGTGCTGCTAATTTTGATCCTATGCTAGCTTCCTATATTTGGAGGGAATCCAGTGTGAGTGCACCTTTGCCTGTTATGGTGCACCTCTCTACTGATACAGATATACGATATACTGCAGAAGAATCTTTGCACTGTTGCTACCAAGAGATTTTCAAGACGATGGATGATTAGCAAATATTTTTGTATAGAGCTGTTTTTGTAGTTTAATAGTATGATGTTTAGCATGGTGTTAACTATAAATATCACCACCTGTGCTTGTAATAGACTGCTAAGCTGTACTTGATTTTATTGCATAAATCTCCATCAACTTAAATTCTTCCTGCCTGCCTATGGGCACCCACTCTCCTGTCAGAGCCTTGTTGTCTTTGCCGAAGTGTCTTGGGGGATTGAAATTTATGCAGAGCAGGACAAATGGCAGCTTTTCCTGAACAGTGATGCTCCCTTTCAATGGAAACCAGTAACAAATCCCATGGCACTTGTCACAGCAGTTATGTTTTTCAGATTAAATCCTAATTTTGTAGGGTATTAAAAATCAAGTTGTTGTCTTTATAATATAATAATATTGTATAGTATAAATTCCCCTTAAGCAGTTTTTATTTTTAGAAAAGTGCTTTTTTTTTTTTTTTTCTTCAAAGAATACCAATGGTGCTTATGTTGCACTGATTTTTGTAGCTGTCTTGTCTAAGAGCAGGCAGCACAAGTTGCCTGTTAATATTATGGCTTTGTATTAAAAAACCTAATGAGTGTGGCCTATGATCCAAGTTTCATGTTTTCATGTTTTTAATAAGGGCTCACCTCATTTTTCTTTGGGACAAAATCCTGCCAGATTGCAAGGAAGAGGGAGGGAGTGATACAGTGAGCTGCTGCAGCCCACTGGATTGCTCCCTGGACAGTGGCAGTGCACATGGTTTGCGCTGTCACTGTGCAATATGCATTTTTGGTGGGGTTCTTGAAAAACAGTAGTTGCATTATATTCAATAGCAAGGCATTGAATTTGGGTTACATACCCATGATTTTAAATTTCTTCAAGAAGAAATTGGTGACGGGGATAAGGAGAGAGAATGCATGTAAAATGTGTCTTGCGCTGCAAAAAAAGTTTGCTGCATTATTATTGTAATTTAATTACCCTAACTTTGCTTACAGGATCTTGGCAGTAAAGACCTGAATAGAGAAAAGATAAGTTTTGTATGTCAGATTGTAAGAGTCGGGCGCATGGAATTAAGGGACAATAGTACGAGAAAACTTACATCAGGTCTGAGGAGGCCCTTTGGTGTGGCAGGTAACACTTATTTCCTTTTATTTCCTTACAAAAAAGTGTATTGAATTTTAATATTTGTTTTGGCATAAAGAAAGACACAAACAAAAGAAAACTAATTTAATACAAACAAGAAAGAACTGTAATTGTTGTATCCACTATATAAACAGCATAAAGATTAAACATTTGGTATCATAGAGTTGAGAAACCTATTGGAGCTATATATGCTATATTCAAATGTGCGTACTTTACAAAGGTAAAATATCTGCCAATATCTCAACAATGTGGAATGAAGATCTGCTACCCAACTTCTACTGTGTTGTCTTCAGTTACAAATTCAGAGAGATACAATTATTGTAACTAAAATACTCTGAAAATAACCTTGCCTTTTCAGTTACATGTATCCATCACTATAGGGCATCATTTTCACTTGCATGCAATCTTCTTTAGATGTTCTACATTAGCCAAGTATGCTGTATGTTGGATAATATTGTCTGGTTCTAGTTCAAGCTTATGTAGCCTCCCTGACCACATTTTTAAAACATTTTCTGGAGCAGCTTCTCTGCTGATACATAAGCTTTCCCAGTCTAATATTTCCATATTGTTAGAGTTGGAAGGAAGGGTAGTCATGTATTGGTCATCTACTTCTACTTGTAGCATAGATTAACCCAATCCAATATACAAATTATTGGATTATTCTGTAAGAGCATACCATGTATTTTAAGGAGGAAGGTGAGGTGCATGCAGAAGAGGGTCCTGGAAAAAAGGAATTTTCATTTCATGCATTGTATGAGGTACAAGCTAAGGCTTCATGCTACAGTGAGGAACAGAAGTATTTGAACACCCTCCGATTTTGCAAGTTCTCCCACTTAGAAATCATGGAGGGGTCTGAAATTCACATTGTAGGTGCATTCCCACTCTGAGAGACAGTATTTAAACAAAAATTCAGGAAATCACATTGTATGATTTTTAAAGAATTTATTTGTCTTGCACTGCTGAACATAAGTATTTGAACACCTGAGAAAATCAGTGCTAATATTTGGTACAGAAGCCTTTGTTTGCAATTACAGAGGTCAAACGTTTCCTGTAGTTCTTGACCAGGTTTGCACACACTGCAACAGGGATTTTGGCCCACTCCTCCACACAGATCTCCTCTAGATCTGTCAGGTTTCGGGGCTGTCGCTGAGCAAAACGGAATTTCAGCTCCCTCCAAAGATGTTCTATTAGATTTAGGTCTGGAGACTGGCTAGGCCACTCCAGAACCTTGATATGCTTCTTACGGAGCCACTCCTTGGTTATCCTGGCTGTGTGCTTTGGGTCGTTGTCATGTTGGAAGACCCAGCCACGACCCATCTTCAATGCTCTGACTGAAGGAAGGAGGTGGTTGCTCAAAATCTCACAATAAATGGTTCCACTCATCCTCTCCTTAATACAGTGCATTCGTCCTGTCCCCTTCGCAGAAAAGCACCCCCAAAGCATGATGTTACCACCCCCATGCTTCACAGTAGGGATGGTGTTCTTGGGATGCAACTCATCCTTCTTTTTCCTCCAAACACGACGAGTGAAGTTTAGACCAAAAAGTTCTACTTTGGTCTCATCTGACCACATGACTTTCTCTCATGCCTCCTCTGGATCATCCAGATGGTCATTGGCAAACTTCAGACGGGCCTGGACATGTGATGACTTGAGCAGGGGAACCTTCCGTGCAATGCATGATTTGAAACCATGACGGCGTAGTGTTCTACCGACAGTGACCTTTGAAACTGTGGTCCCAGCTCTCTTCATGTCATTGACCAGCTCCTCCTTTATAGTTCTGGGCTGATTCCTCACCTTTCTTATCATCAGTGATACCCCACGAGGTGAGATCTTGCATGGAGCCCCAGTCCGAGGGAGACTGACAGTCGTCTTTAGCCTCTTCCATTTTCTAACAATTGCTCCAACAGTTGATCTATTTTCACCAAGCTGCTTGGCAATTGCCCCGTAGCCCTTTCCAGCCTTGTGGAGGTCCACAATTTTATCTCTGGTGTCTTTTGACAGCTCTTTGGTCTTGCCCATGGTAGTAGTTGGCGTCTGACTGACTGTGGGGTAGACAGGTGTCTTTAAAGAGCTCAGACAGGTGCTACTAAGTTAGAATGAGTGGAGTAGAGGTGGACTTTTTAAAAGCACAGTAACAGGTCTTTGAGAGCCAGAATTCTTGCTGTTTCTTAGGTGTTCAAATACTTATGTTCAGCAGTGCAAGACAAATAAATTCTTTAAAAATCATACAATGTGATTTCCTGAATTTTTTTTAAAATTCTGTCTCTGAGTGAGAATGCACCTACAATGTGATTTTCAGACCCCTCCATGATTTCTAAGTGGGAGAACTTGCAAAATCGCAGGGTGTTCAAATACTTCTGTTCCTCACTGTATATGCTTTCTACTATGAGCTTGCTTATTGATGCCGTGTGTACTAACATTCAGCAGCGCCGAAATCTCCTCAGCCTAAGCTCCTATGGGCACTAAACCGCTAGCAAAGTCTAATAATACTTTTTTTCTTTGCACATGCTAATTAATTGTACTTTGCATGAGGATTGGACAAACCCTGAAATAGTATTCATTCCTTTAAAATTCTGAATTATATCCTGTGGAAATAAATTTATGAGAAAATAGTCTTTCAGTAGTGGATCCTGTCTCAACAATCATCTCACTGCTCCTCTGGATGATTTTCTTTCTTTTAAGAATTCTGTTGATATACACTTTGAAACCCTATTACAGGCAATCTTTGCTCTGGAATGTATTGCCTTACAAACAGCCATTTCGGCTATGTCCATTTGTCAGACTGCTGCTTGCTGAACCAACACAATCCTGTCTTTAAAGAACCCTGTTCTGTTGGAGCAGTTGGAGCTCATGCCAATGGCACTGCTATTTTGTGTTGATGCCCTAGAATACTTTTTTTTTTTCCCCCAGGTATCTAAGCTGATACTGCTCTGTGCTTATACACTACATTTTAGGCTTGGTCTGCTGAGCCTTCCTGCAAAAGGTGTCTTTTACACATGCATTTTGATGGTGAACGCCTATTTGGTGCATCCCTTGATAAATGTATCACTTCTGATATGAGAAACTGGGGGAGATGGACTTTTACCCCACAAAAAACAGCTCAAGCCCACTGGTACTATGGCTTCTATGACCTCTCTCTGACGTCTGGATCCTTTCCTTTGTCCAGGCATACTTTCCTAAATCAAAGACAGGTCCTTCTTTTTGTTGAAAGCCTTGGCCTTTAGAACCCTCCAAGCCTTATGTGAAGCCATTCTCACAACAAAATGCCCTCGCTCTTCAGAGTAGGGGGACGTCTGTTGGCCTCTGGGTCCACTCTCATTTCCAGATGCTACAAAATAGAATTTCTATGCTTGCCCCCACCTCAGTTCCTACCCTCCAATGTGCCAGCTTCACCTCAAAGACAGGAAGGTATTTAGGCTGCCCTGAGCACAAGGAGTGATAATTCTAGTTCATGTAGAGGAAAGGTTCAAAGTATTTTACTTGCAACCTATTCACAGTCCCAAAATGGAATGGAGGCATTGTTCTCATTTTTGACCTTAAATTCCTAAACCGATATCGTCATGTCCCCAAATTCCCCATGGAATCCCCCTGATCTAAGAGAAGTGATGGCAGATCTTGCGAATTCCTGACATCCGTGAACATCCAAGCTGCTGGTTTTTCCCTTCTTTCTGGCACACCAACAATTTCTACTCTTTGCTATGGGATACCAACAATTTTAATTTGTCGCTCTGCCATTCTGGCTCTCTTCTGCACTAAGAGTCTTTATGAAAGTGCCTGCTCTGCTCTGGCCCTGCTGAGCTCTCAGGGCACCCATGTAACAGGGTACTTGGACGACTCAAGCAGTTTGCCCTCCAGTCTTCCCATCACTTGAAGTATTTGAAACTGATGTAGGACACAACCCCCAGGAAAAGGTTAATTTTCTGAGATCTAACTGTTAGACTGTCAGGCCACACAACCATTCCTCAACGATTCCTCAAGGGTTCTGCGCCTCATAGTGACCTCCTTTTGAGGCAGTTCCCTTTTGCTCAGATCTACTCAAGATCTCTGAAGCTAAACATTATCACAATGTGAGACACACAGATCTCTCCTCTAAATCTCCCACCATTGTTGTTCAATCAGGCTAAAATCTCCTTGGTAGGTTGGATTCCCAAGTCAGCCTTAGAACTAAGAAATCATTCCTTCACTCTCTCTGGAAGCTGGTGCTGATGGATTGAAGCCTGACGGGCTGGGGCGGGGTCTACAATTCCATGACTGTCCAGGAAACACAGGAGTAGAGGCCCTCCAACACTGGGTGCAGTAAGATTGATTCTCCTACACTGGAATCTTCCCCTACAGGGTCACCCAGCTGGATACAGTCTGACAACATGGATGTGGCCTACATAAATTGTCAAGGGGGTTTCAGAAGTCATACAGCCTTCAAAGAAGCAAGTCTGATTCGCTCGTTTACGCAGAACCATACTCTCTCTGCCATCTGCATACTGCCAGTTGTAAATTGGCAAAAAGACTTCCTGAGTTCCCAACACCTGGACTCGGAGGAGTGGTCCCTCCATACTGAGATGTTCTTGATGCTCTTTCTGAAATGGGGAACCCCAGAGATGTGAACATCATGGCCCTGACCTTTGTGGCGGATGCCCTGGTGATTTCTTTGTTCCCATTTAGATTGGTGTATGCATTCACTCCAATGAAGATTCCCCTTTCCACTGCTCTGCAAAATATAGGAAGAACATATTCCAGTGATTCTTATTACTCCAAATTGGTCCTGGGGAACTTGGTTTGAGACCTACTCCTGACGAATGAGCCTTCGCCCCTTCCAAACAGGCCAAACCTCTTGTCAAAGGACCCTCTGTTCTACCCCACTTTTCAGTCCCTGACTCTTAACGGCATGGCTGTTGAAACTCGGGTCATAATGGATTGGAGCATTGCTGACTCTTTCCTTTTCACCGTGCTCAAGGCACAAAATGTATCTTTCATAGGATCAACTGTTGCAC